CTTTATTTCGTTTGATGAAATGATGGCGAAGAGGAGTTGAGATTGTGATGAGCCCAGTTCAAAGTTAGTTTCTGACTTTATTTAGGTGTTACTGCTTAGGTTTTTCTGCTTTTGAGAAGAATACTTATGAAAATACTTATTATAGGATAAAAAGTTCTCTTCTTTTTCTGAAAACGTGTAAGTTCATAAACAATAAGTAAATAAAAAAATCATGAAAGTGTTCAAAGAAAAAATATAGAAAAAGAAGATGAGCAAAACAAAAAGTCATAATCGTCAAAAAAGGTTACTGTAGACGAATACGTTTAGCTGTAAGTCGTGCAGACGATTTCGGCGTTGACATGAACGAAGATGAACGTTGAGTTGTTTTACGTTTTCTGGTAGTTGTTGAACAAGATTTATTTCGATTTTCAGCGAGATCAGTTTCATTTTCCCATTGTTGAGTCAACGGTAATGTCTGAGATGCAATAATCTGGTGAATTTCTTTCGAGTTTAAATTGAAGGAAAAATCTTGAACATCAAATGGAGCCACTGGTGCATTCTGAATCATCATTAATAAATTTGATTGAGAAGCAAGAACTGGACGAGTAGTAGTCGATGATTGATGAAAATCCTCTTCATCTACAACTGACGGTTGATTAGATTCATCTTCTTCTTCAAGTTCATTTATATTTTTTTTCATCAATGTTTGTTGAAGTGGTAATATTTAGATGAGATGAAGTATATGGATCAGTATCAGATTGTTCAGGTAATAGATCTGTAATCTAAAACAGTAGCAAAAATAAACCTTTTTCATATATTGAATAACAAAATGACGAAGACATGGAAAATTAGATTATTCATTTGAAAAGGAACGTCTCAACTAAGTGCTAGATTCTCGTATTCTCTATTTATTGGTCGTAGAAAATCATTTCATCGATGTTTTATGAGAAATATGATATTCCCTCTAATTTCCGAAGAAGAAAAAATATTTATGAAAAATTATGGCAAATATAGAACCTTTACTGAACAAATTAATTACAATTCTAGCGATTATTGTGTTGCCTATACGCAATGTGAAGTGGCTTATTATGCAAAGACTTCGAGCACTGTGCAAAATGGAAAAGAAGTAGATAAAAAAGTAGAAGAGCGTGCTGATGATGTTAGAGATAATAAACCTGCTACTATGGCCGAAATAAGCCTCATGATGGACAAATATGGCATCAAGCTAAAAATAGTTAATGATGAAAATTATCAGAGAACACAAGAAGAAATAGATAATGGTATTGAAGTTATATATGTAGAAAAAGGCAGTAAAGATGACAAAAATGCTGATCAAGTTGGACACGCTTATTACATAGATGCGAATGGAAACCGCTTTGATGTCGAAACTAAGCTAAACAATTGTTTTTATGGAATTTTTAGTAAAATATTAGAAACAAAAGGCATAAACAAATCTATAGAGAATATTCGTAATGAATTAGCTGATGATATAAAATCAAATGCAAACTATTCGAAAGTAATGGAAGCAGAAAAATGGATACATGATCGACATCCTCAAGAGGCGAATAGTTTATTATTTAGTGCTGGATTACGTCTAGTACCCTCAGCTAGTTACCGACAGGATGGAGTCACATATGAGCAACTTCAAGAGAAAAAAAGACAAAACCAGAATTTAACAAAAGAAGAAGAGATGCTTATCAAAGATTATGAAAGTAAAGGGCATTTAGAAGTCGAGCCTAAAGACTTATCAAAGCTTAATTACTCAGTACATAATACGAAAGACCGTGGTAAACCACACGATGCAGCCTTTAAAGTAAGTGTCTTAATAGTTTTCTTTTCATAAACAGAGCTAAGCTGAAAAACTGTTCTCATCTATACTTATTTCAAATGAATGCTAATTCTTTGTGTAAAAACATTAAATTTAAGCTATTTTTTTAAATTTTGTATCATCACATTAATTTATCAATTATAGTGAACAAAACTTTGTCAGTGAAAGTTGATGTTATTGAAAGACGTCAACGCTAAAATGTTAGACTATCAAGTGACATTTTTTAGCATAAAGTCTCCTAATAATAAGATCTATCTGTACTCACATCTTTTCAAAAAATGTCATTGACATCTTGTATTTTCGTCTACTCAGCTTGTGGTTAATTTAGTTCGTATTCTAATAGTTTTTTTTTATTCCAAAGGCTGTAGTGTCAAAAGGTGAATGTCCAACGCAAGACGAAATCAACAGTTGTCTTAATATAATTCCAAACAATAAATTAGACAAGTTGATTCCATCAAAAAAAGTACCCGAAAACGAACGAATAGAAGTATTGGAAGAATATGTGAACGTACCACATATTAAAAGTTATTATCAACAAGGACCTCACTAGTCCAAACAGCGATCACGGCGAAGTGATTCATGCAGCAATTGCAAATAATCCAAACAATTTGGTCTATGGACCAGGTAAAGACTACCGATGCAATGATCTGGGCCCAGATAAAGATTCTGAATTATTCAAGGCACAACCAAAAACTTACCAGGATTCTGTTGATACGTATGAAAAGAAGCCGAGCCTTAAAGAATTCGGAAATCTACCGCCATCTACGCCTGTACCGTGGGAAAAACATGAAGAACCGGGCAAAAAGGGCGATCAATACTACGTTAAACAATGATTATTTTAAGTTTTTGTTTCAAAGAATTTTATCATTATTTTTACTTATTTCTATGCCTATATCATTATTTTTACTCATTTCTATGCCTACGAGAACACTAGTTACTCAGCATGCTGAGGATGAGGGTGAGTACAGGGTTGTGAATAACAGAGACCGTCACAGGGCAGGGCAGGGCAAAACGTTTTGCCCTGTGTTTAAAAAATATTAAAAGAACATGATTTTATTAGAATTTTTCTCATTCAAAAAGAATTCATTGAGTATTATT